TCCTTACTATGGTTCATGCAGGATTTATACCATCAACCGTAGGACTCGGTAAAACACTGGAAACTCTGAGCAAGGCACACGTCCATCTGGAGCTCTGGCAACCTCGGGGCCACCCGGGGAACTCCCACGGTTCCTTTAAGGGGCTTCAGGATTTCACTTGAGAGAATCTGAGGTTTAGGATTTAACTCAAGGGGATCTAAGGTTTAGGATTTAATTTAAGGGGATCTAAGGCTTAGGATTTAATTCAAGGGGGTCTAAGGTTTAGGATTTAATTCAAGGGGGTCTAAGGTTTAGGATTTAATTCAAGGGGGTCTAAGGTTTAGGATTTAGTTTAAGGGGATCTAAGGTTTAGGATATTAAAAGGGGATCTAAGGTTTAAGATTTAGGGATTTGGGATTTTGGGGGTTTACGGTTTAGAGGGTCTTCTACGCCCTTGATGGCTGGCTGCACTGATGATTTTGCACTGTCACTGCGGCGCGGAGAGAAATCATGTGCAGGGGTGGCCCACTTGCCCACCCAGATGCAACGGGTCGGTCGATTCGGCGCAGGACGCTAAAACATCACGGTGCGACAGTGTGAAACTCGCCGGCCGGGCCAACCGCACAAAATCATGTGTGCGGTGGGCTTGCAAGCAAGACGACCGCATAGCCCAGGACATGTCATGCCGACACGACCTCACATGCCACACCCTGACACGAAACGTCAAAGTCACTGGCTTTGACCTGAGGCCAGTGCTTCGACCAGGCATCGTGCGCTCGCCGCGCCTCCAGGATGTTTGGTTGCAAGGTTCGGGCTCAGTGGCTAAAGGCTTGAGTGTTGTATAGGGCTTAGGCTGAGTCCTAGTGTCGGCACCAGGGCAGACAGCCACACCCGAGATCCATTTTAAAAACACTCACGCTATTTTATCCAAGATGTGCCGGTTCAGCCTGGGGCATTTTTGGCAGGTGCGGGGTTCATGCGATATTAAAAACTGTTAGCTCTCAACAAACACCTTGCGGTAGGCCACTGTGAAAATATGCTACGCTGTCACGCGGTTGTTCACGTCCGTCGATTTTCACGGTGATAAACCACTTCGTGGCCACATGATCCTCAACCACAAAAACTCGGTAGCCAACACCGACATGTTAAAACGGCAACACTTGAATTGCAGTCACGATTCTGTGCATAAACCGCATGCGTGCGAAGAAACCGATTTGTATAGCCGGCAGGGACATGCTCACCGACACCGCCTAGAGGACTTTGTGACTTACTGTTGGAGCAGCAACATTTTTCCTGACGTGCTTTTTGCTGGCTATGGGTAAGGATAGTTAAAAACTTAACGGGGTCGACGAGGGTGAAAGAAACGATGCATCGGTTTAGATTTAACGGGGTCGATGACTACTACTTGCTGTTGCTGCCTTTCTTATGTCCCTACTTGCATGACCTGTGTGTACCCATGAACTACGCACCAGCTCTTAACACTAACGCTTGACGCCCTCATTCAGCGTTTCTGTCTTGAGGGTGAAGGACAAGATGCATCGGTTTCTCGGCATTCGTCCTTCGGAAGTACAGGCGCCATGGGATTTCAACGCGCAGGGCTTGGGGATCCGCACCTACGGACGGACAATCTTCCTGTGTACAAGCGCATGACCCTTGGGCTTTTGGTACGACCACTGACTCGATAGTCACTAGCCTCTACAGTCAAACTGAAGCATCGGCGTGGGTTGGAACATGAGATGCTCAGACGTAAGTGACGTAAGTACAGAATTCACCCTACAAACTAAAGCCCTAACCCTAAAGCAGTACTACCATGGATGATATAAATCTGCATTACCCAAATAAGGAATACACCATAATCCCCATGGTTTAGGGTCCTTAAGGTACTGCAGGATTCATATCATCAACCGTACCATGAACTTGGTAAGTAGAGACTCGAGCACCAATGCCCATGAACCAGCTCCGAAGCCTAAGGTCGTGGCAACCTGACAGCTCTCTCCGAAGTCCAATAAAAAAAGGCCTTGCGGTTCGATGTTTAGGGTTCAGGGTTTGGGGGTTTCGATACATGCACCTCCAATACCTCTACCGCTGCGGCTCTGGTTGCAGGCCCTCTGCAGGTGTACTGGCATCCGGGTTTCTTGCTAAGTTCGCCAGGAACCCGCATTCAAGACACGAAGGTGCCCTTCTTCCTGATAATCTTTGTACCCACGTTCGTTGTAAGCCACAAGAGCGTCTGAACGTCAGCGACACAGTAGGTCGGAAATGATTAACGACAAAAGCATGCAAAGGACTCTGCGCTGGTAGTCAAATTGTGTTATCCCATCAGAGAACAGCAACCGCGAAAGATACAGAGAAGATAAGCATGGCCCCTGCGCGCAAGGATGACACGCACATATCGAGAAGTGTACCTTCTTCCTCTTATTCAGTTTCTCCCTTGGGCCTCACCTACGTCCTACACATGAGAAGCGCCCCACGCCCTGCAGCGTGAACTCTTGAACTTGAACACTTAAATCCGAACCTAAACCCTGAACCCGATAGCGTCCAGAAGAAGGGACTATGGGTACATGGAGGTTCGAGGGACCTTGCAACTAGGATAAATGCAAATGTAGGGTAATAGCTCGGTCAAGCCCAACTAGGGTACTTACTTGGAGGGTCGAGGGAGTCAGTAAGTAGGGAATAAAAAGACTTATACGTACACTTAACGGGGTCCTGAGGCTTGTCATACTTGTAAGTGATTGTAAGTGTATATAAGAACTACTTACTAACCCGCCCACTAACTCCCGTGTTCCCAAACCCAAACAACAGCACCTGTAGAAATTAGACTCTCGTTTCAAATGTAGGACCTCGCAAACCCCCATCCTAAACCGAACCCTATAAGGATGGACAGTGGCTGTATAGCCGCCCCACGCCCACTTACAATGTCGCATGATCCTCCAGTCTTCACGGCGTGGGCGCAATGAAACGTGCTGCACGACTGTGAATGATTTATCTTAAACTAAACAGGTCGTCCGGTCTGGAACATCAGAGGCCGCATACTTGACTTTGTGACTTGAAAATCAAGGGCTCTTTATGACTAGAGCAGTTTTTTCATTGATTGAAGGGTTTTTGTGGCATAGCTACTCAAGGATGCAGTGGGAAGCTTGGCAATCCGCTCTCTAAAATGAGTAGACTGGGGTTTTGGGGACTGTTAAGGAGAACAGTATAGATAATCTTCTGGCCTCTATATTACCTACTCGAAACCAGTAAGGCCTGGTTTGCCAACCCTAAGCCCTAAACCCTAAACCGCCAGTTTGGGGCTTCGTGTTTGGGGCTTGCTGTCTCAAGATTTTCAACCTAGGGGTTTCATCCCGTACCAAAAATTTCAATGGCATGCGTGCATGTAGGATTCTTAACACCAGAGTGAGGAAAGTATACTATACGTATATGGGGGCTACAAGAGGATAGCCTTACTACATGTTCCGACGCCTGAATTTTCATGTGTCCAGTATCCCAGAGGAACTCAAGCTTAAACCTGTGGGATTGCATAGGGATTGTACTAGGAGGGTTTGGGGAACTCACTAACTGGCCAGGTAAGTAGGTTTGTATAAGTGGACTTCCAAGTACCCTGAAAGAGGTCATAATTGGGGTCACGACACTTATAAGTCTATGATAAATTGTTAAATAGCCAAATGCTAAGTCCCCCGATCCCCGAGTTAGTCCACAAAACAACGCTTCTAAGCAATATTGGGGCCTTTAGAATTGGCACAGGGTTTGGGTGGGGGGTGGATTCTACTATGCTTGTAACAAAGAGCGCTGGGGAATAATTTTGGTAACTGCCCCTATATATTGCTACTAGGCGACCTTGGACGTGCTGAAGGGGCCTTAAGAATTAGAATCGGGTTTTGGGGACTACCTTACTATCAGCATAGTGAAGAAGCACCAAATAGTATAGGTAACTTTCCAAGCCCCTATATTATCCAATAGGCCTCAAGCTGGCGATGGATTCCCTGCTGCCGCAGCGGCTCCTCCAAGCCCACTTTCTCCTGGGATTTCGCTGCTTTTGTACGGTTTAAAGTTGACGGTGTTGGAGTTTTTGGCTTATACTCTTTTCCTGTCTGGCAGAGTATTTGCTTATATTCGCCATATAACAAAGCAGTCAGCCTCCGTATACGGTCAGTGATGCACTGGCTTCGATGGTTTGAACTTTCACGGGCAGCTTCAAACAAAACTTCAACCATGTACCATAAGGACCCTTAGGGGGTTCTAAGGATACTCTTAATGGTTGCTTGTTGGGTAGAGGTACAGAGTACCGATTCAAAGCTCTGTTTTCTATAACCTCGCGGGGTGTGGGTTGGAACTTGAAGATCCGGCGTTTAGGGGAGTAATCACCAGCTCTGCCGAGAAACATCCCTCATCAGCAAGGTATATACCATCTCCCATTCGCTCTTGCACCTGGCCGGAGCAACGTTGCAAACCCGATTAAGCCTTAGACTGTGCTTCCCCTACAGGGTAATGAGAAATGTATGTGTTGACGACCACCATGAGGAAACCATATTTAAGAATGGAACAAACCCAAACAGTACCCACGAGCCACGAGCTGTATGGAAACCCCCTCCAACCTTCCAGCGCCAGAACGGACCCGGCTGTAGACAACAGCACGAGAAAGGCCCCTTCAGGTAAAAGGTGGTCATAGTGGTTTCTCCGCAGAGTGTCGAAACGAGGGACCATGTGTCCGAACTCTTCAACATGCTCTAATATAGGGGCCTTAATGATAACCTACCGTATAATGGGCCTCAAAACCCTATTCTAGTTGGTGATGCCCCTATATTACCGTATGCAGCATTGATGTTCATTGTTCGGTCCACGGTTGCCTGAACATCCGGTTTGAAGGTCGAAGGACGTAGTAAGAACCTTTAAAACCTTAACCTTGGGTTGTGCTTTAAACCCTTTGAAAATCATTTATGACTAGGCTCCCTTTATAAGGAAACAAGGGGAAATTAAAAATCATCCCAAAGCGCAACCAAGCAACCCCTTGTGAATTCCGCATGCTGAAGCAGGAGCCACTGGTGGCCATGTTCGTTTTCCGTCTGCCTTCTCAGGCCCGAGGGTCGAAGGTGGGCGGGTAGGGATCGACACAGGGTGTCGCATGGACCTGCGAGCTTGAGCTGGAAGTCCGGAAAAGGCAGCGTGGGACGCTGGGAACATTTGAGCTGTGGGATCAGCTTTCTCTTCAACGTTGGGATCCGGGATCACCATTGGGATTCATCTTTCTTTACAGATCTTTGATCTTCAGTGACGGGGTCACGAGCTACCAGGTGAACTCAAGGGAGTTCACACTGGTAGCGGAGCCTACAGCTTCGCTATCTGCGCAAAAGCGGCCGATCCAGTCTTGAATTCTGGGATTTACTACTTTGGCGACTATGCCACCGAAGCTTGAGCCAGGGTCTACGACAGCCGGAGCTTCGCCGGCCGAGGGATCTACTGGGTTCCAGCTACCATGGGCGGCAATTCCAAAGTTCATTCCTGGAACGACAGATGTGACGGAGTACAGCAGGAAGCGAGAATTCCTGGCGGCCATGTGGCCGAAGGAACATTTGAGTCTGCTCGCACCTCGAGCAGCTCTTCAAGTGGAGGGCACGGCCTTCAAGAAGATCGCCAGTTTGCCACCTGACAAGCTGAAGAGCAACGACGAATCAGGCATTAAACTGCTGGTATCGACGCTGGGTGGATCATGGGGCAAAACAGACCTTGAAGCAAAGTATGACGTGTTTGAAAAGGCCTTGTATGGAACCGTACAGAAGCAGGACGAGACCAACGACAGCTACTTGGCCCGGCACGATGTACACTTTGAGGAGCTGTTAGCCCAGAGCGTGACGTTTGAGCAGGTGCGTGCCTACATTCTGTTGCGCCAATCTCAGCTTACAGCAGAGGATCGCAAGAAAATCATCTTGGAGCTGGGTGGCAGCCTGGATTACAAGAGGGTTTGTTCGTCGATCAGGCTTCTGGGATCTCGGTTCTTTGCCGACCTGCAGGGACAGCGCGTGCTAAAGTCCAGAACCTATGATGCCAATGTGGCTGAGGAGCCTCCGCCCGAGGAAGGGGACCGGACCCTTCCCACGATGATGGCAAGCGCTGCTATCGAGGAGGCCGAAGTGGAGTTGGACGATGGCTTCATTGAAGCCATGGTAGCCACCGAAGACCAGGATGCCTTGCAGGTTCAGGCGTTTGAGGAGGAGCTTGAAAACTTCTTCCAGGATACACCGGAGTTGCAGGAGGCATTGGTGAGCTACATGGAGGCACGCGGCAGACTGCTGGCTAAAAAGAAGTCTCGCGGCTTCTGGCCGATCGGTGGAAGCAAAGGAGCCTCCAAGGGAGGCCGCGGATTCAAGGGTGGCGGCAAGGGAAAGGGCAAGCACCGTGAGCAGCTCCTGGCCCGAATTGCCCGATCCAACTGTCGAATCTGCGGGGAACGAGGACATTGGAAAGCAGAATGTCCCCGTCGGAAATCGAATCCGACCGGCGAGGCAACCACGACCGTGGCCGAAGCCTTTGTGGATGTCTCCAACCTTGCTTCCTCATCCGATCCCGCCGCCTCTCAGGAGATTTTGACCAGCCTGCCAGCAGATGCTTTGACCTTGGAGGAGGCCTTGTGTGTCAATCCCGACCTACCTTCTAAGACCGTTGCCTCTAACCTTAAGGTTTTGGTTCAGAATCTTCGGAATCGGGGTTCGCAGTGGATGCACAAATCCCTCAGGCAGCCGAGCATTGGGGAACCAGCCTCGACTGATGCATTTTGCATTGACCTGAAGCGTGCGAGGTTTCCTGAGTCTGAGGTTGCTGCCCTTGCCCAACAATCAGACACGGTAGAAGCTATCCTAGACACAGGGGCTAGTAGATGTGTGATGGGCAAGAGTTTGCTTCAGACCTTCATTGGCCAGTTAAGTGATGCAGTGCGTTCCAAGGTTCGGATTCAGAAAAGCGCCATTCGGTTCCGGTTCGGGAATAACCAGACCTTGATTAGTGATAGGCGCATTTTGCTGCCATTCCGAACGCCTGATCATGAAGTTTTGTGGCTAGGGATAGAGGTGGTTCCAGGTCGCACACCTCTGTTGTTCAGCAAGAAAGCCATCAAGCAGCTTGGAGGCATCATAAACACCGTGACAGATGTGTGCGAGCTTCAAAGGCTGCAAAGGTCACTCAGCATGCGAACCGGCCCAACCGGGCTCTACATGATTGACCTGTCCAGGCTGTGCGAGGAAAACCAACTTGAGGCTACGCGTTCGACCGTTCGTGAAGATCAGCTTCAAGTGCCTGCCTCCGACGACCCATGCATGTATAGTGAGCCAGTGGATTGTGGTAAGAAGACCCTGGGATGTATAGCTAGTTTTCGATCCTTTAGGAATCCTTGGCCAAAGAATTCAAGTGAAGCGTTGAAGCATAGTGTTGCCAGCGCTGTTAATGATACTATCACAGGACCTAAACCGGTACCTGGTAGCGCGACTTCCGCGAAAGCACAGGTTCGTGAGCGACAAACTGTGGCCGCCGTAGCCACTCCTGCACTCAATCGTGCAACCAGTGTTCTCCCACCGGGCCCTTCAATCGTGTGTGCTGAGCTCAACCATGGCTCAGAGCAGCAGTGTGCCAGAGACCCCAGTCTCTACCCCTGCAAAGGCCAGCTTGGGAGCTCGCCTTCTCAGGCTGCGCGACCCGGCTTCGAATCTCAGTATGGCCGAAGTCGAGGAACTCAGCCTCGAGAAACACGGGGCCTTTCTCATCGACTTCGGGACGAAGATGAAGGGACGCAGCTATCTGGAATGTGTGGAAGAAGCTGCGGATTGGACCAAATGGTTCGTGGAGCATTACCACGATTCATCGAAAAGAAATCATCGGATCTTCCTGAGCTTTGTGGAAAATTATGTGAGCCAGGCCGAGCAAATCGAGGTCGCCCTCTCTGGCGAGCCAACGGTTGTGATGACCGGCGCGTCTTCCAAGGCTCCAATCGCAAGCAAAGCCGCTCCAAAGGCTCTCCCCAAGGCCGGAAATCCGGAGGTGCCGTGGGAGCTTCTGGAAGATCCCCCGATCCACGATCAAGTGGCGTCCCTGAGCAATCGGATGGTTCAGATGGAGCAGGTGATGCAAGAGATGATTGTGGCAATCCGCCAGCTGACTCCTCCCCCGCACTCCTCCTGAATGAGGTGAGTCAGTGTCAACGTGAGCTGGGGGCCCTAGTGTCCCAAGTTAACCTTGAATGCCAGGAGTCTGAAAATAGTGCTAAGCAGCTGATGCAAAGCCAGCCCACGTTGCCTAAGCTTCGGGCTTTTCTGAAGACGGTGCCGTGGCACCTGTTTGCCAATCCGAATGCCCGCGCCTCTGTGGTCAATGGCAACTCTGAGGCGGCCAAACCCAGGGCATATGTCACGTTTGGGATGTACTCCCATGGCGGAGTAGTGGGGATAACGAATGTAACAAAACAATATCCCTGGATTTCCCGTGTACTTACCGCATTAGTCCATCAGAGTGATCCTAAGCACCGGTTTACCTCCGTAGGAGTTTCTTGCAATGCGAGCACGGACCCCCATAGAGACGTGTACAATTCAGAACAATTCCAGAATTTGGTTGTCCCACTTGTGTATCCCGAGACCGGCGGGCAGCTGTGGGTTGCCAAGACACCACATGCGCAGCAGCCAGTCCAGACTCGGAAGTGCGGTGAGACTGAAATCTCGGGATCCTTAGTAGCCCTTAAGCCCACGATGTACCTCGACCCGCACAGTTGGCATGCCACTTCACCATGGACTGGCAATCGACTGCTGGCTGTTGGTTACTGCCTGAAGGCTTCCGATAAGCTTGGAGCCGAGGATAGGGGTCAACTAAAGTCTTTGGGTTTTCGGCTACCATTTGCCTCTCGTCTAATCTTTGCAAAAGCTTTGGTTGCAACTAATCCGTCACCTTCGGCGGAGTCCGAGCTCCGTCAAGAGTTGAGCTCTGCAGAATGTCTCTTGAGCTCCAAGCTATCAGACCAAGCCCAGCATGCTGCCAACGCGTGCGATGCGGCATTCCAGCAAGCCGAGGCTGCTTCGTGGGAGGTGTATCAGGATTCGTTACTGACCTACAACCAGCCGAGTCTGGAGCAATTAGATCTTTTGGAAATCTATGTGACGGTTGATAGTCGGTTGACTGATCAGGTTCTATCCTTAGGGGGTCGGGCTAGGCGGTTTACGATAGAGGATGGCGATCTGTCAACTGCTGAGGGTCAGCGTAACTCTGGGACCTGTTGCAAAGCGCTCAGCCTCGGCATGTGTGGGTGCATCCGAACAGTCGCGCTTGGTGTTCATGGACATCCCTGAACAAGGCCCGCAAGCCCGAAAGCACCCAGAGCCTTAAAAGCACGCAGCAAACAGACCTAGTATATCTTCGACTATGTGCAAAAATATGTGATTGGCAAAAGCAGAAGAACCGTCACTTTCACATGGAGCAGCCTGTTGCCTCAAGACTGTTGAGTGAGCCCGCTGTGCAACCCATAGTGAAATCTACTCAGCGAATTACTGTAGACATGTGTGCTTTCGGTTTCTGCACTCCTGTACATCGGGTTCCTATCCGTAAGCGAGCCGTAATCCTGAGCACGTGCCCGAAGCTCGTTCGGGAACTAGTTCAGAAGCAGTGTCCTGGACATTCCAATCACGTTCCCTTGACCCGTCGCTTGCACTTGATCCCAGGTAATTCCTGTCTTTCCAGCACATATTGCAAGGAGTTTGCGAGGTATGTCGCTACCCTGATGTTGACCGATAAGGATGAGTTGGCGATGGCCTTGCAAAATGCCCCGCCCATGACTCGAAAGAGATTCAAAACCTCTTTGGGCCTCTCGCGACCCATGAGCAGTCTCTACTCACAAAAGCGTGCAAGGGAAGGTGCACCCGAAGAAACCCTAAACCCTAAAGTGCTGAAGAAGACGGAAGTGCCTGCATCTATGCCTAGGCAAGCTCCTGAAGAGCTGCCTGATTTGCAGTGGCAACCCGTGTTTGCTTCCGCGGCTGAGCATGCAACAAAGAGCAGTCCAACACTTGTTCCGCCAAATAGTCCTCTAGTGGCCCTGGTCCAAGCCCAACTTCCCGATGTTGGGGTTCTTCAGGTGTTTGTAGGAAAAGATTGCAAACAACTGCAATCGCCTCTAGGTGCCCTACCCGTGACTGTTGCCCCCTGGCGGATTACTTTGTGCATGCGTCAGCAGACAGGGCAAGTCGCTGTGTACCAATCTCTAGGTCAAGAGGATCGCACCACGATGTCAGCCGATCGCAAGAGAGCTAGGATTCCCAACGCCAACATCCTGATGACAGTATTCGCCCAATCGAAGAATCCTGTAAACCCTAGGTCATCCCAGCCTGCATCAGCCAATGTACCCCAGGATGGCGCCATGAGCCCCAACCTTGAGGGCTGGGCTCCACCTCCCGTACCCATTCACGGTCCCGCCTTTCGAAACCTTGATAAGGATCTTAAGATGAAGTTGATTAGGGCACATAATAATCTTGGTCATCCTGATCCCAAGAAGCTGTCCGAGCACTTGCGCGCTGCTGGAGAGTGTCAATCATTGGTGGAAGCAGCCTTAGACTATCAATGTGATGTTTGCTTAGAGTCCACCATCCCCAGACATCAAAGACCCAGTAAGTTGCCCGAACCCAAAGAATTCAATGACGTTCTCGGTATCGATGGTTTTCACTTTAGGGGTCAAGCAGGCTATCGAGCCTATGTCGTTCATGTTCTTGATGAATCTAGCTGCTTCCATCAAGGCCGTCGTTCCAGTACCCGACTTGGAGCTGAAGCTTTACATTCATTAAGAGATTGTTGGTTCTCTTGGGCCGGTGTCCCTCGCCTAGTGTACTTGGACCCTGCGGGTGAATTTCGCTCTGAAGCCACGTTAGAAGCTTTCCAGAATCAAAACATCAAAACTTTTGTCTCCGCTGCAGCTTGGCAGCGAGGTCGAATTGAGAGACACGGGGACATAGTCAAAAGCATGCTAAGTCGTTTGGATAAGGAAACCCCAATCACTAGTGATAGCTCCCTGGACCAGGCCCTGCAGCAGGTTTTCAATGCAAAGAATGCCTTGGTTCGTCACAAAGGCTATGCTCCAGAGCAGATCGTGCTTGGAAAGTCGGTCCGTGTTCCCGGAAGCGTTTCTTCCGACGAAGAGCTGAGTTCACATTCGCTGACCGAAGGTGCTGATCTTGAAGCCGAGGCCCATCGCCAGCGGTTGGAACTTAGGTGTAGGGCCCGTCAAGCCTTCTTTGATGCAGATAACTGTCAAGCCATTCGACGTGCAATGTTAAGGAGAAGTAATCCAGTTAGGGGTCCATATGCAGCGGGTTCTTGGGTCTTGTACTGGACAAAGAAAACATCCCCAAATAGATTAGCTGCTGGTCGATGGCATGGCCCGGCAAAGGTCATCTGCCAAGAAGGACAGTCTGTCGTTTGGGTCGCACATGGATCTACGATCTTGCGCTGTGCACCCGAAAACCTGCGTCCCGCTTCGTTGCGGGAGTGGCAAAGCTTATCCTCGAACCAATCTGATGAGCTTTCCACGCGGACTGGTGGAGCCAGCACTTTTGTAGACCTGACCGCACCCAATCCCGAGATCACCGTTGGTGTCCCAACTCAGCCGGCACCAAGTTCCTCTGTCAGTCCGATTGAAGTAGCTGTTCCAGCACCCGTTCCTCAGTCTGGCTCCTCTGCAGCTCAGGGAAGCGGAGAATCCGAGGCAGACCTTGGTCAGCCTGAACAAGAACTGACGCCTCAGGTCAGCATTCAAACGGAACTTCCTGCTTCCCTTGATGCGCCCGAAGTTGAGCGCGATACCGCAGCTCCTTCGGCTCCGATGCAGCCGACTCCGGAATCTAATCCTTCAGCCCTTTTGGATGCGACAGCCATCCCTGTGCCCGGCACTGATGAAGGTCTGTTTTCAGAAACTGTGTTGTTGGCCACTAATCCCCTTGACACCCTAGATCCTGTGTGCGATGATCTGATGGAGTTCACTACCCTCCATACCAGCGCCGAGTTTGAGGGCCCTCCTCTAGCTGAAGATAATCTCCCCTTCGTTGAGAAGCCCTTGGAATGCTCTGAGCACCAGGCTTTCTGTCTTGATGTTCCGATCAAACCGAAAGATCTCAAACGCTGGGCACAGGAAGCTGCCCCAGAGCAACTGGCCACTTTGGCTGCGGTAAGTAAGCGTGCTAGGGCCGAGGTTAGCGTTAAGGATTTGTCTCCTCAAGAAATGAAACTCTTCGAACAGGCCAAGGCCAAGGAGTTGCAATGCTGGGTGCAGACCTCTGCGATTCGGTCTGTGCTCCGTCGTCGTTTGAACCCTGAACAAATCTTGAGAAGTCGATGGATCTTGACCTGGAAAACGCCTGAACCCGGAGAGTCCCAGCCTCGCGCTAAAGCACGATTAGTGGTTCTTGGGTTTCAAGACCCTAAGCTGGTTGAGGTAATGAGGGATGCCCCGACTTTGTCTAAGGAGGGGAGGGCTTTAGTACTGCAGACCATAGCATCTTGTAAGTTCCCTCTTGGATCCTTCGATATTAAGACAGCCTTCTTGAGAGGAAAAGCCGATGAGAACAATCCCCTTGCCATGGAACCGCCCAAAGAGCTTCGTCAACTTCTTAACATGCGCGATGATGAAGTGTGCCAGTTGCTTGGAAATGCGTATGGCAGAGTAGACGCTCCCTTGCTTTTCTACAAGGAGCTATCATCGCAGCTAGAAGCCTTAGGTTTCATAAGACACCCCCTTGAGCCCTGTGTGTTCCTCTTGTACACTGGTGATAAGCTAAACGGGATCCTCGGTGTTCATGTGGATGACGGTGTGTGTGGAGGTGATGAAACGTTTTTACAAAAGATTCAAGCCTTGCAGAAGACCCTACCCTTTGGGAGCCGTAAGTTTCGGGATTTCGTTTTCACCGGCATCCGTCTTGAGCAAATGCCCGACTTCACGATACGTGCCTCTCAGGGTGAGTACATTCGCCAGGTTCTTCCTATTGACATAGGTCGTAATCGTCGCCAACAGCCCGAGGCCCCCGCCACCGAGGAGGAACGCTCCAAGCTTCGGGGATTGGTCGGAAGTGTTCAGTACGCAGTCACGCATACTAGACCCGATATCGCTGCTAAATTGGGGGAAATTCAAAGCCAGATCACGTCGGCGACTGTGCAAACCTTGTTGACGGCGAATCGCGTGTTGCGAGAAGCCCAAGAGTTTGACCATGTGTGTGTGCATTACTTGCCTATACCAGTGGACAAACTGACGTTTGTCTCATTTGGTGATGCATCCTTCGCATCCTCTAAGAACTTAAACTCACACCAAGGTGTCATTATATGTGCCACGGATGATCGACTTAGCCTAAATAAGGAAGCCCCCTTGTCCCCCTTAGCTTGGGTTTCTAAGAAAATTCCCCGTGTAGTCCGATCCACCTTGTCTGCAGAAGCATACGCCATGTCAAAGGCTGTTGATCTCTTGGGCTGGCTCCGCGCCTTATGGGGAGTAGTTCATGTTCCTCAGTTTGATTGGCGCCAGCCAGAGCAGGGATTCAAGTTACTGCATACTGCATTGGTGGTCACAGACTGCAAACCCCTCTATGACTTGGTGACACGTCTGGCCATGCCATCCTGCGAGGAGCATCGCACGACTTTGGAAGTTCTCTTGATTAAGCAAAGATGCGCCGAGAATGCTCAGTTTCGGTGGATCCCTACCACCCTACAAGTAGCCGATAGTCTTACCAAAAATATGGATCCATCATTGCTGCGAGCCATTCTTGCACAGGGCCGTTTCCGCCTGTTTGACACTTCAGAATCCTTGGCGCGAGATGCCCAACGTCGCAAGGCCATCGAATGGTTGTCTCAACCCCCAGAGCTTGATCAGCCTCAGTGAATAACACGGTTCCTAACTGACTCTCTTAATTGGGTTTGCATCTGGAATGATGAAGGAGCGAGTCCTTCCGTGACTCTCATCAGCTTACATCATACGATGCTGTATCGAGTCGCCTGCCGATTGCGGAACGAACTTGGCCAAGAAAATAGGGTTAGTGTGAATTCCGCATGCTGAAGCAGGAGCCACTGGTGGCCATGTTCGTTTTCCGTCTGCCTTCTCAGGCCCGAGGGTCGAAGGTGGGCGGGTAGGGATCGACACAGGGTGTCGCATGGACCTGCGAGCTTGAGCTGGAAGTCCGGAAAAGGCAGCGTGGGACGCTGGGAACATTTGAGCTGTGGGATCAGCTTTCTCTTCAACGTTGGGATCCGGGATCACCATTGGGATTCATCTTTCTTTACAGATCTTTGATCTTCAGTGACGGGGTCACGAGCTACCAGGTGAACTCAAGGGAGTTCACACCCCTAAACCCTCCAATCCCATCAACCTGAACAAGACCTAAGAGTAGCCTAGGAATAAAAAAGGGTGCCCTTTTTGGTTTAAAGGGGATTATAAGGGAACCTAAACCCCCCAAAAAAGGGAATAAGGGCCTACTCCGGGTCCTACGGTTGATGATATAAATCCTGCATTAGCCATAATAAGGAATTTACCATAATTTCCATAGTTTCGGGTCCTTAAGGTAATGCAGGATTTATATTATCAACCGTAGTGAAAGGATCCTGTGAAGGGTATTACACCTCCAACTTACCTTTGGTTAGTACTTGGAGGGGTCGGACTTAGTAAGTAGGGCTCCTTAAGGGATCTTTAGAGGGATCTATAGGGGTTCTATAATGGAGGGTCGGGGGACTTAGTAAGTAGGTAATAAGTAGAGTTCTAAGTACCCTAAAAGGGATCCTAATTGGGGTTATGGTACTTATAAGTCTCGAAAATAAGTGGTTACTAAGTCCCCCGACCCTCCAAGTAGAGAATGGAGGAATGGGGTTACTACCGTTCTTCCATTCCCTACTAAGCAAAGGTAAGCCAAGCCCCCTGAAAACCTGTACTGGGCTTTGGAACTGACCAAGGGGAAACAAGTATATACCAAGTGCACGGTTGTGGCTGCTAATGGCTCGTTTAAGGAACAGGTCCTGAACCTTACTCAAGTAGGGTACTCCACGTCCCTGTGATATTGATTCGTAACACTACTACTGCTCAGGCTTCGTCAAGACATATAACGCCACGCCTTCAACCCTAAACTAACCCCAGCTGTCATGCTAGACATGCATGCGCCTGAACAGCTCCCCTAAACCCTAACCCCGCTTGGAGGAGTTGTAAAACCCATGAAGCCCCTAATCCTTTATAAACACCATTAAGAGACACACACCCTAGATGCAAATAGATCCCCACAACGAGAAACTTCAAATCCTTAAACCCCCCCCCCCCCCCCCCCACCCGCCCTCCCATGCCTTTCTTTCCAATCTGCATCCTGGGTACGGGAGTTCCGGGAGGTTTTTGACGGGACCAAAACGAAGAGCATTGGGGGCTATAGGGTTTAGATGTATCGACGCTGTACGGTTCAGGGCTTTGGGTTTGTACCCCTTGGCTGAATCACGGGCGATTCTTTAAACTGTGGGAGTTGCTCCCGATCTTCCACTCAAGTATCACTTGTGCCCTGATGCTGCCACCCCCTCACACAATTGTCACTCTTCGTGGCCGTGCTGACGCGTCCTGTCTCATACTTTCAGGGTTCAAGATTGCTGGTTTGAGCACTTGGTCACTTCTTCTCTTCGGTGGCGTTATTTTGGCATTCGGATGTTGGTCCTGGGAGCACCAACCGGTAACCGGGTTCCCCAGCAACTATCAAGCCTCAAAATTTCAAGGAACACACCCTCCTGTTTCCATCCTCGTCGAATCTTTTATGGCAACCCTCATATAGTAGAAGCCAGAAAGTTGGAATATCATTATCATAACCCCTTTAAGATAAATTATAGGGGATCTCACCATTAATCCATATTCCAACTTTCTGGAGTTCCCTTTAGTTCTTAGTAGATGCTTTGGCACCCTTATAGAAGAGCCCTAACATGAGAGGGTTTAGGGTTTTAGAGTTCAGGGCCTGAATATTGGACTAGGGTTGGGACCCTGTGCTACGAAAGTATGAAAGATCAACTAAAGAATACGGGTGCTATTCGCTTGGGCCCCTTCAGTAGCACTGGGGCCCAGACGAACCATAAACCTTAAACCCTAAGCCGTGGCAAATTCTAGGGTGATTGATATACCCTTTTCTTCAAAGGCAATTGTGGGAGCATCCTTGAGGGAAGGCGATATATTTGTCAGGGAAAAGACCTCTTCTCATATAGTCTCAAGCATTGTAGACGAAATATGAGGGAACCCAAGAGCGTAAAAGTCTCGTAAGGGCTTCGGCAGCTATTAGGATGTCCGACAACCTAGGAATAAAAAGGGTGCCCCTTTTCCTATCGGGCAGTTAATCTTAGAGAGAACGGAGACCTAGAAAAAGAGCCGCGCATCTGATCATTTCAAGCCCCACACCCTGAAACCACAAAGCCAAACCTGAACCCGAAAAAATGCCTGTCTTTTCCAATTAAGGATTTGTACAATTGGGGAAATCCAGAGAGGGACCCATAAATTAAAAGGAAGGTCGTATGGGGTTAAGGAACCTTGAAGCCAAGCAACTCGGGACTTATTCGCCTGAAAAATCTTCCGCGTGACGCGGGACTCCATCGAGACAGAGGGCTCATACCACTCCTGGGCGCAGTAGGTGCAGTCGGGGCTTCGCGTTTAGAGTTGAATGGCTTAGGGTTTAAGGTTGCTTGTGGTTTGGGGCCAGCGTTTCGAGTTGAGTTGAATTTGGTTGAAGTTTTGGGGCTTAAGGCCTTACTCACCCAAGAATCCACAAAAACGAAAGGTTGAACTTTCCGATTCCTACTAAACTGCTGCTAAACTATAAGACTCCAAAATTTTTAAAAAGTTTTAAAGGTTGGGGATCTAAGAGGCTGAGTTGTTGCAGAACCATGAGCCCTAGAACTGGGCAAGTTCACTTTTGTTGTGCCGAACCATGAGAGTTACAGTAGAAGACAAAAAAGTTGGAACATCATTGCCCTCATGCCCTTAAGGTAAGGTAGAGGGAATCCCAGCACTATTCATCCTAAATCTATGTTCCAACTTTCTGGGGTTCACTATACTAGCAATGACAGCAATCATGCTTAGAAGAAAACATATCGTCGTGGTAAACATGTTACCAACTATCCTACTCACTCTCATAGGCACCCGAACACAGAACTAAAATCAACTATGACGCTTAGAGTACCATGGCTTTTAACAATTACAATGCCTTCATAGCAGCTTCTAGTCCATCGTGAAGACCGAATGCAACATCCAAACGTCAAACCCTCGTTTAAACACACATAAACATGTAAAGTGCTATCAAATGACAAAGGCTTTGCCAGGCGGCTTTTTTTGGGGGTATAGACTACTATACTTGTAGCAAGGAACCACAGGTCGCGCAACCCCTGCAAATTGCAAGGAATTTCCGGATTGGTGGCATTTTCGATCTCGAGGAATTTGATGACGGTGGCAATGATCTTGTATGTCATTGAAGGCT